ACATCCCAAAGGCATTCCCCTCAGCATGGCTCGTGAGGTTTCAGCAATTGCTTTAAGAGCCTGTTAGTCCGTTCCACTATCCCATTACTCCGCTTCTCTAAGAGCTAAGCTCACAACCAAGAATCCCTTTTCCCACCCGCAATATTGCTTCTCAGCATCCTTAAAGCTCCTGGGGTAAAATCCAATTGCTTGGATAGGACCTTCTGGTCCCTTTTGCCAACAATGAATTGATAATCCCGAGCGTGCAAACCCCCATTCAACCTGGACAGGGTCAGTGGGGTGGGTAGGACCCAAAGCCTGGTGAGCACTTGCTTCAAACACTAAAAGCAGTAATGCTTCATCACGTACAAGAGTCCATTCCCAAGCTGCTCCTTTTCGCAGCAGATTGTGTAAGAGCCGTGCAGTTATCGCAAAGTCTCAGATGTGTTTTCTCCAAAAGAGCAATAAACCCAAGGCGTGCCGCAGCTCCCTTTTCTTTTCTGGAATCTTTACCTGATCTAGTACTGACAGGGTGTCCGGTGAGATACAAACTGACCCTCCTTCCCACCCTATCCCTAAAAATTTCACCTCATCCGCAGCAGCTTCTGTTTTCTCCTCGGCTACCTGGAGTCCCAGAGACTCTAAGTGTTGTACCGTCTTTTTCTGTGTTACCTGGACTGGAATAGCTTCGTCCCCTCCTATCAAAGCTTCATCAATACACTGATAGACTCTAACTCCTGATTCCAGAGGAATTTGGTCTAATTCTGAGGCCAAAGCACGATGTGCTAACGTGGGAGCATGTTTACAGCCCTGAGGGAGGTGAGTGAAGGTACATTGTTGTCCCTCCCATGTGAAGGCAAAACGATCACGGTCCCCTTCCTGCAGGGGAACCATGAAAAACATATCTTTGACATCAATCGTGGCCATCACCTGGTGAGCTTGTTCCTGAATTTGTGAGATTAGTTCAGCTATATTAGGCACTGCTGCCATCAAGGGGCCAGTATTAGCACTGAGTCGACGATGATCTACCATCAGTCTCCACTTCCCGTTCGGTATACGCACTGGCCACACTGGGGAATTATACGGGGAGTGAGTAAACATTAAGATTCCCCATTGTTTAAGATCCTCAGTCACGGGGGCTATCCCTTCTCGGGCCCCTAACGGCAACGGGGAGGGTTTCACATTAGTTATCTTGGAAGGGGGCAAGGCAGGCGCCACTTGCAACAGGCACACTTCGGTCCAGGACATTTCAGCTAATCTTCTGATTTGAGGAGTGCCAAAGGACCACGAGTCTCCCGGAGTATCATACCACTGTCTGCCCTTCAATACCTCTACGCCCAAGACATTTGTTGGGAACGGGCCTACTGCAGCCTTGGTGTTAACTGAGTCTTCCTCCCCGGGCAACCACGATGTTTCCAAGACCACAGATACCGATCGGGTTTCCCCCAAAACATCTAGAGCGGTTAGGTTTTTAGATGAAGTGGGAATTCCACATTGCTCTGCCTCAGTCCACATCAGTGTGGTGATTTGTGCCCCTGTATCAATGAAAAAAGTTACTGGTTTCTTCCGTGGCCCTATTGTTAGCGGTTGCAATCGCCAATAGAACTGATCTACACAAAGTAGATAAACAGGCACTCCTTTATTCCAGTGCTGGGGAACAGGGGGGATAGCTCTACCACAGATGTGTTCACCAACAGGTACAAAGTACAACATAGTTACACACTTTTTCAGCAGAGTCATGGTTCACGTGAGATCAACAAAATTCATAAAGTTTAATTTGACCCTACTAATGATTGGCTTTCGCTTACCTCACCTTACCCGTATTCCTATTCTACAGAAATCATCGGTCATCTTTACTGATTGATTTGAATAGACTGGGGGGAGAGTAGTGATTAGCATACTCTTGTTATTTCCTGGAAATCATTATCATATGCAAATGCCTCTAATCCATGCGTGGTTATGTTGGACGGGCGTCCTCTGGTGGTCGCCGATAGTCTTCCTCACTGTGTCCGCCGGCTGACCTCCATCCGTGCGCGTGCTCATTTCATCCTTTGGCTGATCTCCCAAGCCAAGGCCAGTTTTTCCTGGCACCCCTTGTTTTAATTCAAAGTCCATAGCTATTTCCACAGTAATCGAGGCAAGCACGATACTAGTTGCTCATGCCTCAGAACTTAACGTACCTTCTGTTCTCATAGCTACTATAACTCTGTATCACCCACATAACCAAAATTCAAGATCAGATTCTAAAATTCAAGCTATTTCATTTGGGTATTTGTAAATTGTCACACTCGGGTTAGAGGAGTTGTCCGTTCTGGATCCACAGGCATCACCATCGGAGAGCCCTGGTTAGGTTTAAGTTCTCTATCATACATCATCTGCAAACAAGCCGCCTTTTGCACACTTTCTACCAGTTGATCCACCGTACCTGTTGTAGCTAGGGGCTCTCCCCTCTCCACAGGGTTCAGCCCTACGGCCCAATACGCTGTTTCTGATTCCTCTGGAGACCTTGCAAAATCCTTCTTTAATTCAGTCTCTGTAAACGGAACCTCTTTAGTAACAATTTGGGGATGGTCATCATCTGCGTCATGCAAATACTCCGTCTTAACTACGGGGTGCATATGAGGAAGATTTCCTACCGTGCCCTCTGCTTTCTGCAAGCCCCCCTGGGGACTTCTAACTTTGCCTCCACCTCTCTACCCCTCCAAACGAGTCGCTTTCTTTCCACAATTCGTCTCTCAATGCGTTCTTTAGTACAGAATTTTGGGTTCTTTCCTCCTCTAACACCTGCTTGGTCTCTTTTAACTGCTCTCGTAGCGATGCAAGTGTTCTTTCCAGAGAGTCTACCACAGTATTATCTTGACACAGTTTCTGCCTCCTATCCTCTATGGCCGCTGTCAAACTTGCTCCCAAAACAGCACAAATTATGGCTTCTCCCTTCCCACGCCTAACTGTAGACTCCTGCACTACCCTGATCCTATCCACTATACTCTGTGGCCGGAACCAATGATTTTTCACCCATTCTCGCCCTTGGGGAGACGGGCGAGCACGATAGGTTCCCAAAAAGCCATTGGTTTATCTACATCCACATTCCATTCGTTCAGTGAAGAATGGTCAGGAACATCAACAAGTGTGCAAGCACCCATTTCACCAAAGGGGGGTTATTTCGTCCTGAGAGGGTCACACCTTAAATTCACAATTCCCCCTCTATCACTCTCAGGAGGACACACCTTAAAAAGTTACTTTCCTACCAAAGTACGCCTCAGCCACACACTCACAGAAACCCCGGATAAAGTAACTGGGCATTTCCCGTTTCTCTGAGAATCCTGTCCGTGATGCCAATTACAGTGTCGCAAACCGGTCAGAGACCGGAGCGAGGTTCCGCTTGTATTCCCAGGAACAGAATTAAGAATCAAAACGGAGTCAAGTGCTGCAGAACTTTATTTGCCTGTCACAAGTGCAAAAGGAGAAGAAAGAGAGAAAGAGAGTAAGAGAGAAATGGAGAATGGGAGAATGGGAGAATGGGAGAAAGGGAGAAAGGGAGAAAGGGAGAAAGAGGAAGGGGAAAGGGTTCCTTTCAATAGCTACCACCACGCAACTGACGGCCGGCAGTCTGGTTAGAAAATGGGTCTGTAGAGCAAAGGTGAGAGGCACCCGTGAAGCAATGATGGTGGCGAGGAGAAGCGATGGCGGTGGCAAGGAGAAGCAGAGCAGTAATGGTGCGGGGAAGAAAGTCCCTGCTCTCAGCCCTCCTCTCTGTTTTATTCCCGTAACCCCACCTACCACTAGCAGTGGTGCGCATGCCCAACTCCGTTGCTGGGAGGTGGTTTCCAAACCAGGAGATTTAGGTGATTTCCGACCCCCGGTCTGGGCGGGTGCGCGGGGCTGAGGTAGCTCCGTTGCTATGGCACTGGTGGTATTGGTGATTTTGCTCCAGTAACGTCAAGGAAAACAAACCAGCACAGTCTCTGACATGGGGCAGGAGAAAGAAATAGATTTGACAACCAGGTCCACCACTGTATTCCTTTTGCGTCCTGCCTTATGTTTCATATTAAAGTTTTTCCAGGGAGCTTCTTCTGAAAAGACAAAGGGGATAACGCCGCGCCAAACGTGAGCATCGTTGGTGTGGCGGTTGCTGGCGTCTCTTGCCGGCTGGTGAGGACGCCTGCTTTGCTGCTCAGAATGGCAGAGCCGTTGAGGTGGGAAGGGGCCGGGGGAGGTGACCTCTCAAGGCCGGGTCAGCAAGAGCGGCCGGCCCACAGGCCTGGCCAGAGGGGCCTCCAGGCGGGACCCCCACCCGGGCGGGTGCACACCAGTCCGGCGGTTACACGGCAACTGTCATACAACATCACGTCGAGTGGCAAAGCGGTGATGTCACAATGCAGCAATGTGACAACACCATGATGCGCATCAGCCAGACTGCCAGCGAGCCACTATATATAGAGCCGCTGGCTGGGAGACCGGCTGAAGCGGCAGCAGCTGGGTGCCTCTGCAACAAGAGGAGACAGCGCAGGGTCGCAGCGCCAGGAGAGCTCTTGGAAGGAGCCATGGAACATCGTCGCGCTGCTGGCGTCCGAAAGGCAGAGGCACGGCTGAACACCCGGGGAGAGAGGGGAGAGGTGAGCAGCGGGCCCATGGAGAGGGCTCAGCCAGGCAGCCCGGGGCATGGCGGGGCTGCTCTGGGGCCTCGGATGTGCCTTGTCTTCCACAGCTGTGCGGGAGGCTTGTTGTTCATCTAGCAGCTGAGTGTCTCTGTTTCCTTAGCTCGGGCACAGAAGACAGCACCTGGAAAGAGGAGGACGTCCCAGGCTGCTGGACCCTGAGCTGCTGGACCTCCCACTCGGGGTCAAGATCCCTGTGCCACGCGGCTCCAGGCCTCTCTTCAGCAGGGGAAAGCTGGGGGAAAAGGTAAAGGAAGTAGAAAGGGGTAGAAAAGAGCTCTCTTCTGCCACCAGACAGAGCATCTAGGCGCAGGGTTACTTCTTTGTTGCAGAGTCTCTGTAGTAGGGAGACCTTTCCTCTGGGTGGGAAGGACTCCAGGGATTAGGCTATAGCTCGGAGGACTGGAAGTGCCACCCCGTGTGCCTGAGGAGCTCGCAAGAGCATCCCTCCCTCCCAAGAACACTCTCTTGCCCCATTCTGACTCGGCAACATCTCTCTTCCAGCTTCACCGGCCCTCCTGTACTTTTAACCTGGGAGATCCATACTGTCGCCTCTTGAGCACGGAGTACAACTGCCTGCACGACCCACATCTGGAGGCGTACCACAGGCGCAGTCATAACTTTAGGAGCCTGAAGAGGGCCGGTTATGTCACCAGCGATGGCAAAGTAGGTTTTGACATCGTCAGGTTGATCAAACCGGTTCCCCCCAAGTGGTCTTCCCCGAGCAAAGAGGGAGTGGGTTCAGAGGGGGCACCTTCTCGCCCACCAGGTTCGGGCTGCTTCGGGGAGGCGCTCTGCGTAGCTGGCTTGAGAGTGCATGGCTGATTTCTCCTCTCGTTGCTCCCTAGGTGATTTGCAATCTCAAAGAGTTCAATGAATACAGGCAATATCTGAGCACTCTCAAGCTGGAGGCAAAGAAAATGTCCAGGCAAGCAGAGGTAGGCAAAGCAGAGTGTTAGTGGACAAACACGAGCGGCAGGCTGCCCAGGGCTGGGGCTGTGCTGGCTGCATCTCGGGGAGGCGGTCAGTGCAGCAGAGGTGAGGGCCGTGCTGCTGGTGGGCCGGGCGTTGGGGTGGCGGGGAAAAGGCACTGCCCGGCTCGGAGCTGAGCTCACGCAGGGTGCTGGGGTGGGCATGGGCAGGAAGGTCGTGGGTGGCAAGCGTGCGGCGTCCTGAGGGAAGAAGCCCTTCTCTTCGGCCCTCGTCGCGTGGCTGAAGCGGAGCGCTGGCCTGGGCCCGCGTGAAGCCTCAGCACGCCGGGCCCTGAGCGCTCGTCCGGGCTGCAGCGAGCCACAGTGACCCGGTGTCGTCCCCTTTCAGGGAAGGCTTCAGCAGCACCTGCCCGAATTAAAGGATGCCCCCAAGGTGCCGGGAGCTGTGGACACTTCTCGCCTGGCAGAGCGGCTGCTGCAGCCTCGAAAAACATCTTGCCCACCTCAACCCAGGAGCAGAAAAGTCTCCCTGAGATCACGGCGCCAAACGTGCTCCCAACCTGAGCAGGGAGAGGAAGGTGCCAAGCCGCCCCGGAGGCTCAGTAGTGACGCTGACTCCGAGAGGATTCCGCCAGGCATCCTTGCAAATGGTGTGTTCGAAGCTGCATTTGAACAGCAAACTGCAGGAGGAGCCCAGAAGCTTGAAGAGCTGTCTGAGACTGCAGTGCAGCAAGTGTTGGAGACGGTGAATCTCCCTAAGAGAGAGCCACAGCCATCCCAGACGCCTTTCTCAAGGCTGCACCTGGAAGAAGGAGAAGGATTCCCCGGAGCATCTGAACAGCAGAGCCTGGAAGCCAGCAAGGGAGCAAAGTTGCCTGTGTTACCACCGCTGCCAAATGCAGCCGCTGCTGAAGTCTCGCAACTCTGCCACACGATTGTCAGGGAAAGCATCCAACGTGCCATCTCGAGAGTTCAGCAGCGCCATGCAGAGCGGACTGGCTATGGTAGAACCGTTGTCCCTGAGGTGCTTGGAACGGGGAAAAAGAAATTAGAAATGAAGCCAATGCCAACAGCCTTAGCCACATCTTTGGCTCCAAGGACCATACCTGATGACAGCGTTGACACTGTATTAGTGTGGACGTGTGCACCTGGGCCTGCACTGACACTGAAATTGAATTTTGGAAGGCCTGTCGCAACCCCCTGGCTCCAACGAGATGGAAAGGAGAGCTATCCCGCTGAGGACGCCCTTCCCTCCTTGGGCCCACCCTTTCCCAGGCAGCCCGTCCCTCTGGCGGCTCTGAAGCCCCCTGTCCAGACAGGAGCACGGCACAGATTGGTGAACATTGAGCTCGTCCAAGGCAAGCCCCAGCAGCCCATGTACAAACGAGGGCGTTAGTTGGGAGACTTGCGGACAATGGCCTCAGCAGGTGTGTGGCCAAGAGAGCTGGAGAGCCCCTGGGCAACTCCAGCAGGCAGCAAAGACGGACCTTACAGCCTTGTGCTTCCAATAAAGAGTTGACTCCCGAGTGCTCGCCTTGTGCCTATGTCGTGGTTTGAGCCTGGTCGGCAGCGAAACACCACGCAGTCACTCGCCTACCCACCCCCACTTGGGAATGGGGAGGGAATTGGAGGGGCAAAGGGAGAATCGCGGTTGAGATAAAAACTGCTTAATAAGCGGAATTGTAATAAAATAATATGGTGACAGTAGAAACGGGTAATGTGCAATGCAATTAATTGTTCATCACCCGCCGACCGACACCCTGCCCCTTCCCGGCTAGCGATCCCGAAACACAAAGATGCCACAGGAGCCATCCCAGAAAGGAGAGCGTGCACCTTCCCGCCCATTCCTTCCTTTATAGGGTGAGCATAACGTCACATGACATGGAGTATCGGCCAGTCCGGGCCCAGGGCTCCAGCTGTGTTCCCTCCCTGCTTCTTGCGTGCCTGCACACAGGCGGGGCACGCGGAGCTGGAGAGTCCCTGAACTCTCAGTGTGCCACCAGCACTCCTCCAGCTACCAAAACCAAACAGGAACTCTATTCCAGCCCGAACCAGGACAGCCTACCTTCATTCAAGCCAGGCCGTCCCGTGGCCTCCTCAAGGCCTCTCTCAAGGCCTTTCCATTTCCCCTCAGGCCCCCCGCCACGACCCTTTCTGGGGCAACTGAGGTTGCTCCGTTTGCTTTTTGGTGCCCCCACAGCCCTCCATTTCCCTTTGCAGGCCCCCTAGGGCCCTCCGTGTGCCCCCTGGTGCGGCTCAGGACTCCTCGTGTGCCTTTCAGTGCCCAGCCCCAGCCCTTTGCGTGCCTCGGGGCACCTGCCTCAGCCCGCCGCGTGCCCTCGCGTGCCACCCAGAGCCCTCCCTTGCCTTTCCTGGAGCTCCGGGGAACTCCTGTTCTCCTCGTTACCCCTCCGGACTGGCTGGAGCCGAGTACGAGGGGGAGAAAGTTTTCCGATGCTGGGGTGTTGCAAGCCGCTCAGAGACCAGAGCAGGGTTCCGCTCGTATTCTCGGCAACAGGATTAAGGCTCAAAAGGGTAAATAGTTTCTTGTGATATCTACCGCCACGCAAATGATGCCCAACAGTATGGTTAGAAGATGGGTCCGTAGAGCAAAAGTGAGAGGTGCCTGTGAAGCAATGATGGTGGCGAGGAGAAGCAGAGCGGTGATGATGTGGAGAAGAAAGCCCCTACTCTCAGCCCTCGTCCCTATTTCATTCCCGTAACCCCACCTACCACTAGCAGTGGTGCGCATGCCCAACTCTGTCACTGGGAGGTGGTTTCTGATCCCCGGTCTGGGCGCCTGCGCGGGGGTGAGGTAGCTCCGTTGCTATGGCAGTGGTGGTATTGGTGATTTTGCTCCAGCAATGTCGAGGCAAACAAAGCGATACAGTCTCTGACAGCACCCCGTGACTCGACAGTGCTGTCTCACGGAGGATTTTCTGTGATGGTAGAAGGAGAAAGTGAGAAGGAAAGAGGTAGTGCGCAAGGAATTAACTGTATAAACACCGTCACCAATATCATCTAGTTAACAACTGGCAACAAGTATAACATGTTTAACAAACTTTATAAAACCAGAGTGTGCTATAAACCGACTTTTTTTTTTTTTTTTTAAGGTTCGGTGGCATCAGAAGAAAAGGGGAGAGATTGTTTACGTGGATTATTACAGGGTGGGCATTTATAAGGGCAAAACACCACTGTCAAAAGGACTTTTAGAGCAAATATTTGGAAGGTTAAGGTCATATAAAAAATTCAGGTTATTGCAGGCATGCATTCCACACTTTTGCCTCGATGCCATGTAGTTTAGGCCCTCATGGTCTGCACATCCATTGCTTTGCTCCGCCGGGGTCTGGAATGGCACGTGCAGCAAGAAAATCGATTTCCACACCCCCCTTTTGCCTAAGGTGCATGTGCAGTCTGGGTATAGAATCTTCTACCCCAAAGTTAGGCAAAGCTAATCAATTTCTGTCTGTGTCCACCAATTTCTCCACCCCGTGGCTCAAGATTGCCAACACTCGAGGGTGGTATAGAACAAGGGAAGAAAAAGAGAAAGAGAAAGAGGAGGAGGAGGGGGAAAGGAAAAAAAGAAGTAAAAAGCAAAAGCTACAACTCATACGATTTGGATGGTTTCATGCTTGTCTTGTTTCACAAATCTAACCTGATTTGTTCCGTCAGACGAAGTCACAGCAATTGCTTGCATGTTGCTCACAACGCTCTGGATTAACCGTACCAGGCATGGTATAATGCAGGGTAAAAGCACTGCAGCTGCTAGCCTGCACAACAGCTGAAATAAAAGTTGTTTCACCCCTGGAGTCCGCGGTAAGCAAGACCATAATTCACCATTCCAACCGTTCCATATTTGAGTGGGGACGTGGGCTATTTTCCGAATGTCCATGGTTAACTGAAGAACCACTTCACCTACATCACTGCTTTCCAGACAACAGTTACAAACATTTCATTTTCCACATACCCCTCCCTTTTTGGCCAAGAAACAATCCAAAACCATGCGGTGTTGCAGGATTGCGGTGTGCATCTGTTGAGATTGTTGATTCAAAAGATCTATAGCACTGGTGCTTTTGCTGGTAATAATCTCCGGAACCGCTCGCAACCGAATTATGCGATTCAGATTATAAATTGGTTCCCTTGCCCCTGCTATCCGGTCATTGGGATTCCAAGTGGCCAGCCCGCAATGTTCTATTATTCTCTCGGGAGGCCACTCGTTTTCCCCCCACTTTTGCGTCCCGCAAAAATATCAGCCTCAAGAGATCGCTTATTGCGAGCAACACCTTTGTCACCTAAGGTATCGTATAGCCTTATGCCCAGTTGGGAACCACCTGGTTTTGGAAGAATTAAAAATAGAGGCCAGATGATCCCAACGTGACAAATTCCTGACCAGTTTGCTGGCAGTTGTTTCTAGGCAGTATGTCCACAAATCCAATACTGTCCCTTTTTGGCTTTGGCACTGCTAGCAAACGGTCCAACTGGGGCCTTTGGGTTCTGGGAATAAGTCGCATTATCATTTCCCAAAGGGCTAAAAAAGGTATTGCTTCTACTTCTTTGATAGCCTTTCATCTGGATGGTACAATACCAGGCACCTGTGGTGTTTTCTCACTCACAGTTTTGGATAAAACTCTGGCCATCGGGCCCTGGAGCAACAAGGCTTTCATTTTCATTTGACCAAAATCCTCCAAATCCTTTATTGCGCCCAGCTTCATTAACCCACATCCATACACGAATGCCACTATCCTTGTTAATCAATTTATGCGTAAGTGCCCACTGACACTTGCTTTTCCCCACATTAACCCTCCCTCCTCGGGCGCGGTTTAGGCAACGTCTACGCACCGCAGGAAATTGGATTGGTCATGTCTCATCATTGTCTCAGGCGGTGCTATCGGTTTCACTATAATTGCTTACAATTTGTGCTGCAGTGAGGGGTGTGGAGGTCCACGGCCAACTTGACAGCCCTAAAGGTCCCCTGCAAAGTGACTCAAATTAAAAGTTTTACTCACTGTTTCTGCTAACAAAATAAATTCATTATCTTCAAGGGGATTGTGTGGGTCGGAGGGAGGGGGAGGGGTTGGCCCTTCCTCACCCTTACAGAGAAGTTCGTAAAACAACACAACCGCAGATAACACAGACTTTGGCCATGCGCCTGTCTGGGTTTGCTCCCTTGTTTTCTTCTTCCTAAAATAATGAAAAAACAAAATTAGCTTCTCGGGTTAAAAGGAGGGAACAATCCACCTAGAGTTGATTTTGTGAGTTTTTTCACAGGCATCCTTTGCCTTCCAGGCATACCTGTTAAGGGGTTCAGTGAGTATGAGAGGGACGGCTCCTCTAGTTGGCAGTTCTACCAGCACTGGCTGCCCAGGAGAGAAAACCGTTCCTTCAGGAGCACCGAGAGTCTGGGGCTTTGGGGTTAAAGTCGGGGCTTTAGGGCAAAAGGCATTTAGGCGGGGTCATCCGTTTACCCCGCAGCGATCATTGACCTGGTTAACCACATCCCAAAGGCATTCCCCTCAGCATGGCTCGTGAGGTTTCAGCAATTGCTTTAAGAGCCTGTTAGTCCGTTCCACTATCCCATTACTCCGCTTCTCTAAGAGCTAAGCTCACAACCAAGAATCCCTTTTCCCACCCGCAATATTGCTTCTCAGCATCCTTAAAGCTCCTGGGGTAAAATCCAATTGCTTGGATAGGACCTTCTGGTCCCTTTTGCCAACAATGAATTGATAATCCCGAGCGTGCAAACCCCCATTCAACCTGGACAGGGTCAGTGGGGTGGGTAGGACCCAAAGCCTGGTGAGCACTTGCTTCAAACACTAAAAGCAGTAATGCTTCATCACGTACAAGAGTCCATTCCCAAGCTGCTCCTTTTCGCAGCAGATTGTGTAAGAGCCGTGCAGTTATCGCAAAGTCTCAGATGTGTTTTCTCCAAAAGAGCAATAAACCCAAGGCGTGCCGCAGCTCCCTTTTCTTTTCTGGAATCTTTACCTGATCTAGTACTGACAGGGTGTCCGGTGAGATACAAACTGACCCTCCTTCCCACCCTATCCCTAAAAATTTCACCTCATCCGCAGCAGCTTCTGTTTTCTCCTTGGCTATCTGGAGTCCCAGAGACTCTAAGTGTTGTACCGTCTTTTTCTGTGTTACCTGGACTGGAATAGCTTCGTCCCCTCCTATCAAAGCTTCATCAATACACTGATAGACTCTAACTCCTGATTCCAGAGGAATTTGGTCTAATTCTGAGGCCAAAGCACGATGTGCTAACGTGGGAGCATGTTTACAGCCCTGAGGGAGGTGAGTGAAGGTACATTGTTGTCCCTCCCATGTGAAGGCAAAACGATCACGGTCCCCTTCCTGCAGGGGAACCATGAAAAACATATCTTTGACATCAATCGTGGCCATCACCTGGTGAGCTTGTTCCTGAATTTGTGAGATTAGTTCAGCTATATTAGGCACTGCTGCCATCAAGGGGCCAGTATTAGCACTGAGTCGACGATGATCTACCATCAGTCTCCACTTCCCGTTCGGTATACGCACTGGCCACACTGGGGAATTATACGGGGAGTGAGTAAACATTAAGATTCCCCATTGTTTAAGATCCTCAGTCACGGGGGCTATCCCTTCTCGGGCCCCTAACGGCAACGGGGAGGGTTTCACATTAGTTATCTTGGAAGGGGGCAAGGCAGGCGCCACTTGCAACAGGCACACTTCGGTCCAGGACATTTCAGCTAATCTTCTGATTTGAGGAGTGCCAAAGGACCACGAGTCTCCCGGAGTATCATACCACTGTCTGCCCTTCAATACCTCTACGCCCAAGACATTTGTTGGGAACGGGCCTACTGCAGCCTTGGTGTTAACTGAGTCTTCCTCCCCGGGCAACCACGATGTTTCCAAGACCACAGATACCGATCGGGTTTCCCCCAAAACATCTAGAGCGGTTAGGTTTTTAGATGAAGTGGGAATTCCACATTGCTCTGCCTCAGTCCACATCAGTGTGGTGATTTGTGCCCCTGTATCAATGAAAAAAGTTACTGGTTTCTTCCGTGGCCCTATTGTTAGCGGTTGCAATCGCCAATAGAACTGATCTACACAAAGTAGATAAACAGGCACTCCTTTATTCCAGTGC